TCAAAATTTTTGGCCTTTTTATGTTTATAGCGTGAAAAATAAAAAGCGCACAGATGATCAAATACCACCAAAAGAAAGCTCTATTTGTGTGAAAAAAAGGACGTAAATTTCGTTTGGGTGCAGCATTGCATGACTGCGCAATTATCAGTTGAATTAGTGCAGTGCCGAGTAGCAAAAAGAGGCCTGGTCATTAAGGGGGGTAAATCCTCTGGAGCTCAAGTGGTTAAAAGTTGTGTTTTTGACGGTGTGCATGAGGCCTAGGGCGTCAATACAGCAAATGATGGGTTTCTATTTATTGTGGGTTTCTTTTCATTGTGCCATACCTGGAATACACATCCTTACATACTCACTGTGTGGAACGTTACGCCGTCACTCAAGAAACATGATGGTTCAATTTTGATGGAACAAATGATCTTCACCCACAAAAGAAGCTTGTTAGCCTTTTCAGACCTTGGAATTCACCTACATTACTTAAACTTCATTTCAGTCCTCAGCGAAAATTAAGTTACTTTTTCGTACTTGTTGACTATCTCGGAGATCAGCAGATACCTGAATAGCATATTTCAACTATTTTTCCAAGCAGTACGGGACACTTTCTGTAATCGATGAAGACTGATGTCGGTGAATTCTCTTTCCTCCACCGCACAGTGTTCTACAGCTTTTACAAAGTAAGAAAGAGTTTTCTTTGATTCAAGAGCCAGAACTGACATTACATGAGCCTCAGGAACAGCAAAAAAGAAGACCGGGAACTAGGAGAGCTCAGTAAAAGGAAAAAGAAAACCTATTTTTCTGTATTTCTAATAGATTCAGCTTCTGCATTTATGAAAAACAGCTTAGGAGACTTAGTATTTTTTTATTTTAAAATTCAAGGGATGTACACAGTCTTTCAGCTTGTTTCCGATGAACACTTGAGAGGTCAAAAAGATCCATGCCTGTCATTTTCACCTGAAATTAAACTGAACAAAGATAGGAGCTATACTTTATTCCCGTGTGAGAATAAAAACTTTTAGCTAGGCTGGGAGCCAAAAAGCCCATGGAGATCTCCTGCATAACAATGTCACAACTAAGACTGTTCTTCTCATAGTCCCATTGCATTATGGGAGAAGGAGCGGTGGAATCACACTGGTGGCTAACAGGCTCTTGGCATCCTAATACTGCTTTAATCTTTTTTTATAATCTTTTACTTACATTAATTTCTTGTGTGTGTATATGATTATAAAATAGATGGCATATCGTATATATTATTTGCCAACACTAGTCAAAGCAACAGGCGCACTTGCATCCTTTGCTGTCAGAGCCATTTTTGCATTTTTTTGCACACGTTTAAAAAAAACATTTAAGGCCTGAAGATTTCATGAACCCCCAAACATTGTGCAAGTGCAATGGTTTATGGAACACAAAATTTAATTAGAAAAATACACTAAAGTTAAAGTCAGGGCATAAAAAATCAATATATTACTGAATTTTTGGTAAAATATAAAAGATTAGTAATAGATATCCAACATGTCAAGGCTTAAAATTGTGTGCGTCTTTGAAATGGTGACAAACTTCAGTAACCTATATTTTCCATAGGCTACAATTTAAAAGCCCCTACAGGTCATCAGTTTAGGGTTCACCATGAATAATGGGCCTAGAATTAGTGATCTCACTCCGGTGTGCATGGAGGTATGTAACATGTGTTGCACAATAAAAGTTTTTTCATGTGTAGGCACCCCCGACACAAGTATTTGCATTCATACTTTATGTGGATGTATGTGGGGGTGAGGGGAACAGATCCTTTGGGGGGGGGGGGGTCTTGAGTGCTTAGGTGTAACTTACATTGTTTACACTTTGTAAAGTTTTTTTAAATACACTTTTTTTGTTCAATGTGGCCAGTGGGAGTAGAAAATGTTCTGGCAACAATATACCATCTTTGGTATTAGTGGGGCGCATAGTACCCCATTGTTGGTGCCAGTGAGGGGAAAAGTGCCCCATCGTTGGTGCCAATGGCAGGAATAGAGCCCCATCATTGGTGCCAGTGGGGGGAATAGTGCCCTATCGTTGGTGTCAGTGGGGAGAATAGTGCCCCATCGTTGGTGTCAGTAAGGGGGGAGAATAGTGCCCAATGTTTGGTTTCAGAGGGGAGAATAGTGCCCCATCCTTGACTTCCATGGGATGAATAATGCCCCATTCTTGGAGTTCGTCAGATGAACAGTGCCCTATCCTTGGCATCCGTAGGAGGAATAGTGCCAAATCCTTGGCGTCAGTTGCAGAAATAGTGCCCCATCATTGGTGTCAGTGGGGGGAATACTGCCCAAGGGCCGGATAAAGGCAAGCATAGTCATTCACTGTTCTAAGTGAATGAATAGGAGGACTTCAGTTCTTCAACTATGAACTTTGAGGAGGAATTGCTCTACAGTTTCAGCTTATTTTAAAACTTATTTCTGGCTTATTAAAGCAGAAGACAAGCTCTGCTTAATATATTAGGGACTCCTTTACCATTGTAAAGAGCAGAATAAATGTAAAAAAAAAAAAAAACACTTGTAAGGAAAAAAGGTATTAAATATGAAGCTGTAAGGGAGGTGAAAAATCCTAGGAGCGAATAGATTGCGCACTCACCAGAAGTGCATATAAAATACGCATGTAGAGAGGTATATATAATCTTCAAAACATCTCTGACTAAGGAGTACTTTGACGCCCATACTGCTTGATGAACCCTGGTAACTGCTGATCGCGGTGATACAGAGGATGATATGGAGTGCGACCTGACCAGAGCTTTGATGCCAGAGATGTTTTGAAGATTATATATACCTCTCTACATGCGTATTTTTATGCGCACTTCTGGTGAGTGCGCAATCTATTCGCTCCTAGGATTTTTCACCTCCCTTACAGCTATTGATTTGGGACGTGGACTTTTTGTGTGCTTTATCATTTCCCATTGATTAGCACACTGTTTATTATTGTATTTCATTTGTACCTATCTTAGGACATTTTATTGAGCATTCATATTTATATGCATATACACTTTTACAGAGCATTCTTTTTGTGCTCTGATTTAAGCACTGCACCTATCCCTCTCCTTTTTATTGTTTATTGTAAGGTTGGTTGGTTACCTTTTTTAGTGTTCTAGCTGCTTATATAGACCTGTTTGTAGCGCTCGCTATACCTTTTTTTATACCTATAGGTATTAAATATGCTTACTTTACATTGGCTTCCATTCTGTAGTGGGTGACCTTGCCAGCCTTCTGACAAGATTCGGAAGAATGCACCCAAAAATCTCACGATATGACACCCAGCACACTGCAGGAACGTCTTGCAAGGTTTTGAGTACTTGTCAGGGAGCATTTTCCTCAGGAAATCACCAGAAGAATGGTGACATCACCCTTGACTACACATCACCGGTGGTAGTGTAAGTATTTCTCTTTTTTATTTTTACATTCATTTTGCTATTTACAGTAGGGGAGGGGGTCCTATTGGTACTAAACATATCTTGCTTTTTGCTGAAAGGTCCGTTTTAGGAATATAACGATACTTGAAGGTCCATAGTATGGCCACAGGTTCACATTAAATATGAAGTCTTAAATCCTATCTACATTTTTCTAGCAGTAATAAAATTGTAACTACTCTAACTGGTCTGCCCAGCTCAGGATTTAAATAATTGTTCAAGTATGTCCAATGATTAGGTCATCAGTCTCTTGGCATCATCATGCTGGGAGTTTTGTATAACTTAAGAAATCATTTTCACACAACGGTCTAATATTAGATGATAATGAGAACAGAAGAACGAAGAGAACTTGTGAACGTTTGAGGAGTAATTGGCTGGTACACAAAGAGGAACAAGTGCTGTTTCTCTGTCTACTCAAAAAGACCAACTTGTCCCCTGACCTTCTAAGTGACAAAGGCACAAAGAAGCAGATTATGAAAGATTTCTTGCTGATATTCAAAGTGATGTTGATATAACAGAAGAACTCCAAATGTGTCATGTATATCATGATTTCAATCATTAGCTGCTCTTGACTAGCTGAACTGTCTTCTGCAGCTAATGAGTGGCTGTTTATCTTGCATTTTCTACTTCACTGCCCATTTCAATTAGGCTAGAACGAAGGCAATTAAGAGCATTTTTTATTTTCTAGGCTTACATAAGATATAAGCACGGTAGCCTATAAAATTCCTGCTTTTCTCATTGCCTTCTGCAATGCTTAGTGTACAGTGCGAGGTAAAGTAAATAAAATGGAACGACTACATTAAATTGTAATTGCATTCAGATAATAAAGAAGACAATATGGTATGCAAACTGAGTCGATAATATAAAAAGATAATATAAAAAGAGGATTTCTGAGTTTCTCATTTGGAAAAGAGTAGTAGTTAATATGCTAAAAAAATTCTTTACAATTCCAATTTATCCCCAAGCACAGTTGCTAAGCCAAAATTTCCTTTTTTTATTGCTTGCCCCAGGAAATATGGGCAAGCCAAATTTTGTTATATGCTGTGTTGCTGTTGCTATTTTGGGGATTTTTATAGCATAATTATATATGGAAGAACACTTTAGTTAATTATTTTTATTGGTATTCCTCCCCTATTTATGTGCTAATGAACTTGTTTGACTGGTCCATGAGCTCAGGACTGATAGTGATGCTACAGGATGTAGGTAGAGGGGAAAAAGAACTTGGGCAGTCATGTGTTGAACAAAGGAAGCACATGACAATTTGCTGGACTCTGAAAAGCAAATAGCAGTCTGGAGAGGTCCTGGATAAAAGGAGGAAGAATACTCCATCACCAGGAAAAAAAAAACAAGTTACACAGGTGTTTGATATACCTATTGCATACATTATCAATGCAAATTTGCTGGGAAGAATAGCTGGTTTGTGCAATTATATATTGTATGCACATTTTGTGAGACTTTGTGTGCCATGAATTGCTTTCCCTATAATTATACACTGTATTGCCAAAAGTATCGGGTCACACCTCCAAATCATTGGATTCAGGAGTTCTAATCAACTCCATGGCCACAGATGTATAAAATTAAGTACCTAGGCATGGAGACTGCTTCTACAAACATTTGTGAAAGAATGAGTTGCTCTCAGGAGCTCAGTGGATTCAAGCGTGGTACTGTGATAGGCTGCCACCTGTGCAATAAGTCCATCCGTGACATTTCCTTGCCACTAAATATTCCACGCTCAACTGTTAGTGGTATTATAACAAAGTGGAAGCAACTGGGAACAACAGCAACTCAGACACCAAGTGGTAGGCCATGTAAATTGACAGAGCGGGGTCAGCGCATGCTGAAGTGTACAGTGCGCAGAAGTCACCAACTGTCTGCAGAGTCAATAACTAAAGACCTCCAAACTTTGTATAACCTTCAGATTAGCACAACAGTGTGTAGAAAGCTTCATGGAATGGGTTTCCATGACCGAGCAGCTGCATCCAAGCCTTACATCACCAAGTGCAATGCAAAGTGTCGGAAGCAGTGGTATAAAGCACACCGCCACTGGACTCTAGAGCAGTGAAGATGTGTTTTCCGAAGCCACGAAGTGCTTTCTGTTTGGCAATCCAATGGACATGTCTGGATTTGGCGGTTGCCAAGAAAAAAGGTACTTGCCTGACTGCATTGTGCCAAGTGTAAAGTTTGGTGGAGGGGAGATTATGGTGTGGGGCTGTTTTTCAGGGGTTGGGCTTGGCCCCTTAGTTCTAGTGAAGGGAACTCTTAAGGCGTCAGCATACCAAGACATTTTGGACAATTTCATGCTCCCAACTTTGTGGGAAGAGTTTGGGGATGGCCCCTTCCTGTTCCAACATGACTGCGCACCAGTGCACAAAGCAAGGTCCATAAAGACATGGATGAGCCAGTTTGGGGGTGTAGGAACTTGACTGGCCTGTACCAGTCCTGAACTCAACGCAATAGAACACCTTTGGGATGAATTAGAGTGGAAACTGCGAGCGAGGCCTTCTCGTCCGACATCATTGCATGACTTCACAAATGCGCTTCTGGAAAAATGGTCAAACATTCCCATAGACACACCCCTAAACCTTGTGGACAGCCTTCCCAGAAAATTTTAAGCTGTTATAGCTGCAAAGGATGGGCCAACTAAATATTGAACCCTACGGACTAAGATTGGGATGTCATTAAAGTTCATGTGCCTGTAAAGGCAGGCCGACCAATACTTTTGGCAATATAGTGTAAGTGCAAAATTTCCATTTAGTAAAGTTCAGTGCTCAAAAAATTAAAGGAACACTTTTTAATCAGAGTATAGCATTAAGTCAATGAAACTCCTGGGATATTGATCTGGTCAGGTAAGTAGCAGAGGGGGTTGTTAATCAGTTTCAGCTGCTTTGATGCAAATTAAATTAACAACAGGTGCACTAGATGGGCAACAATGATATGACCACAAAACAGGAATGGTTTTACAGGTGGAGGCCACTGACAGTTTTTTCCCTTACTCATCATTTCTGTTTTTCACTAGTTTTTGCATTTGGCTAGGGTCAGTGTCACTACTGGTAGCATGAGGCGATACCTGGACCCTACAGAGGTTGCACAGGCAGCCCAACTCCTCCTGGATTTGCTGTAATGTTTCATGTATTGCCCCCCCCTCTATTGTTCAGCGCTGAGCAAACCCTTTGGCGCTATATAAACTCAATGTAATGTAATGTAATGATGGCACATCAATATGTGCCATTGCCAGAAGGTTTGTTGTGTCTCCCAGCACAGTCTCAAGAGCATGGAGGAGATTTCAGGAGACAGGCAGTTACTCTAGGAGAGCTGGGCAGGGCTGTAGAAGGTCCTTAACCCTTCAGCAGGACCGGTATCTGCTCCTTTGTGCAAGGAGGAACAGGATGAGCACTGCCAGAGCCCTACAAAATGACCTCCAGCAGGCCACTGGTGTGAATGTCTCTGACCAAACAATCAGTAACAGACTTCATGAAGGTGGCCTGAGGACCTGATGTCCTCTAGTGAACCTTGCACTCACTGCCCGGCACCATAGAGCTCGATTGGCCTTTGCCATTGAACACCAGAATTGACAGGTCCACCACTGGCACCCTGTGCTTTTCACAGATGAGAGCAGGTTCACCCTGAGCACATGTGACAGACGTGAAAGGGTCTGGAGAAGCCAAGGAGAACATTATGCTGCCTGTAACATTGCTCAGCATGACCATTTTGGTGGTGGGTCAGTGATGATCTGGGGAGGCATTTCCATATGGTTTGATATAGTTAGACCTTTCCTCTACTTTACGGCTGCCATACATGGCTCAAATCTCAGCATATTTAGAAACTCAAGCCCCTGAATCAATATTTTTTGCAGGAGCATGGTGGAAAATTGTCATCTCCACTGCGACTGCAGCCACTCAGATATATCCACTGCTCGGGTACACAGGCAGTCATATTAGCTGGCTGTCAGAATAGCCAGCAGGAGAGATTCATCTATCTGTGCTTTTTTTTAGCATTGGTGGTGGAATCTGCTGGATTTCTATGGGTGTAGCATGGCCAGCTTTAGTCTAAGTTTAGTAATTGCATTTTATGTAACTATGTGCAGCACCCGCCTTGAGTAGAGTAGGCTACTAGGCAAACTTAGTTTAGCTCCACTGTAATCATAGGAGCAGGTGTTGATTGCTTAGGGCTGCTCAGTGATTCACAAGCTGCTGCTCTGTTGCTCCCCCTGTCTTCTAGAGGATTTTAGAAATATAGTCAGAGGGAGGACATAGTGGGCAGCCTGAATATTAATGGGACTCCAGCCAATCCCTTGGAAGGTGTTCCCAGTGTGTGGTGAGAGACCCCACAAGTAAGTCTTAGACTTCAGCAGCAAGGTGCAGTGTTCCTGGGTCCAGTTTTGCAGGAGAGGACCCCAGTGCAGGGGCTCAGCCCTCTGGGGCAGAAGTCTGAAAGGAAGCCAGCCTGAAGACACTGAGGTTCAAGATAGGCATTGCTAAGAGGCCTATTTACAAGTCCTAGTCCACGGATCCAGTTGGGTCCGAGGAAAGCTCATGGGAGAGAGCCAGTAGGAAGTTGTGGGAGAGAGTCCAAGCTGTCTGGAGGTGGTGTGAGTCTACATCTCCCTCACTGGGAAGAGCCTGTGGATATCATCAGGAAGCAGTCAATACTCATGTGGCTAAGTGAGTACAAAACCCAAGTGCTGCAAAGTGTGACCGTGTGTATCCTTAAACTCTGAAAGGGGTAAGAACAAGAGAAATATGTGGTGCACTAAGAAGAAATAAAACAGATGTATACTGTGATAGCTAGTATATGAACCACACGACTGAAGTCCTTAAAGTCCAAAGGTGGTTAAGGGATATTCAAACAATGCTTGACTCAGTGACAGCCGACTCAAAAAGAGCTAGAAAAGACTCTGTGTGAATCAAAAAAGAGAGAGAGAAGCAGCTCCATCTAAGTGCAGCAATACAAGCAAATAATTTATTTCCACAAAATTGGCAACTCACAATAGTAGTATTCAAATGAGCGCTTGTAAAACTAGTGTCAACCGCTGTGCACCTCCTGGCTGGTCCCACTGCAGGCAAGCCTCCAAAGCACTGTCCTTCCTGGTCAGTGTGGATCCTCAGGACAGGAGGGAGTGATGTCAGCTCCAGGTACAGCAGCAGTAGGTGTGGCACGTGTTTGAAACATGCATGCTCCTTCATCAGGTCATGATGGTCTGCAGCGGGACCAGCCAGGAGTGGCACAGAGGTTGACACCAGTTTGACAAGCGCTCATTAGACTACTACTATTTTGAGTTGCCAATTTTGTGGAAATAAATTATTTGCTTATATTGCTGCACTTAGATGGCGCTGCTTCTCTCTCTTTTATAACTCTGAAAGGGGTACAGGTCACAGTCAACCTAGAGATCTAGTGGGGCATTTATTTTGCTCAAGTGCATCCAGTAGTTTGTGTAGTACAGCCAGAAGTTGAAGAGTCCTCAAGTTGTACAATTTCACAGTTCAGGGGTATCCCATGCTCCCTTTCCCTACCCAAGTTCATCATTCCCCAATAAAGACCCTAAAAAGAAACCTCTAGACTAATCCTTTGAGTACTGGAAGAATGCAGAAACTGTTGTGTCTGGTTGTGTGTGCTCTAAGGGGGAAACAGAACCAAATTCACCAGCAGCTCCTTGGGGGTGTGCTATATACAGTATGTACTATTATATTGTAGAGGGAAGATATCTTTAGGTAAATCACAGTTATTTGATTACAAAATGAGAAGTTAACACCACTCTAATAGATCAGTTTCAACAATTGATTGTGAAAACTTAACGTCACAAAGGTCAAAAGGCAACATTTCGGGACCTTGCAGGGTCCCTTCCATAGTGCATCTCAGTGACCTATAAATTGTTAATACAGATTTATTGGAGTGCTGGTGACTTTTCATCTTGTTATTTGGATCTTACATGGTATCATCCATCATTTGAGGGTCTCCTTTGGTTTCGCCAATGAGTGATCATAGAACGATTATAATAAAGCATTAGTGACTGATTACTTCCAGCAATTTAAAAAAAAAATACTTTTTAGCCTTCTTCTACCCCCATCCGCTTCTCAGCCCAGGCAGGAACATATTGCTTACAACCCCCCCCCCCCCCCCCCCATCTGCTTTTCTTTCCAAGTTGTAAGGGTACTCTTAAAGCATAAGGTCCAGCAGATTGACTAGAGCCTTAGGAGGTTTCCGAAAATTAACTCTATATTATTATTATTATTCAGTATTTATAAAGCGCCAACAGTTCGCTCAGCGCTATACATTACAAAGGGAGACAGAACACGCGACAGTACAATAACAATACAATGCGATACACGCGGGGTTTGAGGGCCCTGCTCCTTGGAGCTTACAATCTAGGAGGGAGGGGATAATGGTACAGGAGGAAAAAGCAGTGGGGGATGGAGTGGTAGAAAGAGTGGAGGAGGTCGGGAATTAGCAGGGGGTGGGGTAAGCTTCCCTGAACAGGTGGGTTTTCAGGATGCGCCTAAAGGAGAGGAGAGTACAGTAGGTGATAGTCTGATGGATTGGGGTAGGGAGTTCCAGAGTATGGGTGATGCCCTGGAGAAGTCCTGGAGGTGGGCATGGGAGGAGGAGACTAGGGAATTAGAGAGAAGGAGGTCTTGTGAGGAGCAGAGAGTGCGTGTAGGGTGGTACTTGGATATTAGGTCCTATAGATTTAGATAAGATCTAAACCTTCAGCTACCAAGTGAAACCTCCTGATTTTGGGACAGTAGAAGTACCGTATGATGACACCATGCAGTGACAGACCTGGGAACTGTACAAGTGAAATTCCTTACCATACTTGATATCTGACTAAATATCTATATACCATGGGGGTCATTTTTTGCCACATTTATGGGTAATTTCTCAACACAGTAGACCTAACCTTCGAGGTTGTCAGCCCACACCTTTATTCAACATTGTATTGGCATAGCTAAGCTTTCTTTTACCCTTATTAAATGTTCGAGCTTCTGAAATGAAAAATGCACAAAGCATGTCCATGTGTAGGCTGCAGATCAGTAGTCAGCGGGAGTGCCTGAAGAAGGTCAACATGTTTCAGCCATGACATAAGGCCTAGATGGCCAAAACACGTTGTGCCAACTTATTTTTTCTGGATCAAGTGTTTGTGAGGTCTCAACAACCATTTTGCTGAACTGGATGATTAATGGAGGTA